CCAGCTGTGGCCTGCACTCCCATCCAATACTCTGTGTGGAAATAGTCGTCACTTCCTCAGTGATGGTGTGTCTTATAGTGATGGTTGTAATGGTGAATGGCTAGTGTCATTTTAAATTTTGTTTTGCTTTTTGATGGTAAAGGAGATGAAATTTTAGCTCTTTCAGCACCAATCCAACTTAAAAGTGTCTTGGACTTTGTTTTCCCTTCCAAACTAAAAGATCAAGGCATGTGTTAGGCATAAATGTATTTGCTGCCTCAACTTATCTGACGCCTGTATTAGGAAAAAGCCTGCCTGCCACCAAAGCAGGAAGCTGCACACTCCTAACCCTTCTCCAGGGCTTGGGGTCCCTTGATGCCATGGAGAGCTACTGCAAGGTGCTTCTGTACTTTTCCAGCCTGGAAGTGGAGGGTGACTGGGCCTGGCTCCTGCTATGAAAAGAGAACCAGCCTCATTTTCTCAGTGCCCCAGAGATCTAGGACAGGATTTCTAAACTGGAATCATCCCTCATCAGCTTGAAGATGCCCCAAGGGGTGTATGACTAGTGCTGCCATCTGTGTCCTCACAGCAACACTGCTGGCAGCGTCCTGTGTACACACGGAGAGCTAATACCCAGGGCTTAACTCGAGCTGATGACCCAGTCTGAAAGCTGGGTAGCTGGCCCTGAAATGCTTCCCAATCAATAAGCCCATGGGGAATCGTTTGGTTTTTATATTTTATTGGAATTTGGTTTGCTTGGCATATCTTAAGGTGCCTTTTCTTTTTTTTCCTACTTTATTTTGTAGGACTTGCTCTAAACATGGAAAACAAGTCCAAAAGACTCTCCCACTGACTGTTACCTTTGCCCCAGGCACCCCAAACTTTTATGCTCATTTTATTAAATAAAGCAGGTGCTTCCTGTAATCTCTGGGACCTTTTTGAGGCATTTGAAGCAGAATATAAAGAGTGGTCTCATCTCCTTCCTTAATCTTCCTGGTGGTTGGGATGTTCCACTTGTATCATAGATTTTTTTATTACTGATGTGCTCCGCTGTTTTTAAATGTGAACTTGTGCGCACATGTGCAGATTCAACGTTCTTGTTACAGACTGAATAAATTTTTATTTTGAAGATGAAACGTGTACTTGATCGAGTGTAACAAAAGCGGGGGAGGCGGTCCTGAGACGGTGGAGGGATTGAAAGAGAACACCAGTGATAAACACGAAGCAGTTCTCATTGATTGATCTCCCTCCCTTATGAGACAGCTGAGCTCTGGGAGAAAATACAGCTTTGTACCTCCCACAGAATAAAGAGTGGATGGGAAATGGGATCACTGAAGATTATTTCAGTGTGGCTCCAATCAGGCGATCTTGCTGGGAACTTGCCCAAAGAGGCTCTTGCCAAAGCCAACACCTGAATGTTAGGAGAATGAATAAGCAAAAGGCCCAAAATTCATCCGCCATCTGTGGCACAAAGTGACTGCTCTGGGACAGCTGCTGTGACCTCTCTGGACATTAGTGAGAGAGCTCACAAGCTTTCAGCATAAGGCACCTCTGCTCACTGAAAGATTTCTAGAAATGGGGCATGACTTTACAAAGAAGTAAAAGCTTTAACCTTCTCCCATCATTAGCGAATCATTTGATGTCAGTGATAGAGAAAGAGATGGGGCCAAAGGACAGTTCTCTACAACAGGCTGGGGGTTGAGGGCCAGTTCTCCCCTTCTCCCACCCTCCATAGACACATCATGAGATGTTTAGTGGAGCCATTTGTCACACATAAAGCAGCACTACTGTCTAGGGAAAGCTCAGTTTCCAAATTGCTTCATTTCCAGAGAAACCACTGCCTTGAACTAAAATTAAGTCAGCCTGCTCTCATTTGAAATCATCCCTATCCAGTGGGACAGGTACACCCCTGGTGTCTGGCTGGAGTGCCAGAGTGTATGATGGTGAAGGCAAGGTCATTTCACAAAATATTCTAGGGGTGCTTGGAGTCTCTGACCCTAATCAGTCCTGGCTTTCGAGCCAAAATAAACCAACCAAATCACGTCTAAGTTGCCTGGCTACCTCTTCCAGAAGGTAGCTTTATGAAAGATGAAATCCATGCCTGCCTTCTACAGATTGCCGTTCAGATGGGTAACAGTCAAATGGGTAACAGCAAGGGAATGTAGCAAGTCTAAGTAGCTTTTTCCCCTGATTGGCTCTTTGTGTCTTGATTCTGCCCACCCAGAGCTCTGCTAGGCCTTGGCAGTCAGAAGGAGGAAGGCTAAAGGGCAGGGCTGAGCCATGCCAGCTCTAAGCAATATGTGAATTCCCACTCCTGGGTCTGGAGAGCACCCCCCCCCCTTCCCAGGTAATGGATGGAAGGTAGAATGGATTGAAGGATTCCTGCTTGCTAGTCCCAGACCCTCCCATCTAGAGTGGAGTACCTAGCTCTCTTTTAAAAAGGAGAAAAGAAGAGAGGGAAGAAAAAAAATGCCATTTCAGGGTAGGAGACAACATGTCAAAACTCTTCTCTGCCAACAAGTGATGCAGAATTGGAAAGAACCTTAGCCAACCCTCTTCATTTTATAGCCCAGAGAGCTGCAAAAATTGGGTGATTGAGCAATGGCTGGAACTACAGTTTTCTAATTAGTTCAGGCATCCTTTCCTCTGTGCCACAAGGTGTAACGCTCACAGTATGAGCACTTGTGAGATAACGTGTCACTGTCCTTCAATGAGAAATGCATAGTGCTGAAAAGATTGACCCAGACACCAGATCACTTGGGTAGGAATCTCAGCTTCACTTCCCACCATCTGAATGATGCATATGCTATTTAACTTCTTTGTGCCTCAGTTTCCTCCTCTATTAAATAAGGGTAATAATATTACCCATCTCAGAAGGCTGTTATCAGAATGGAACAGTGTCTGACACATAACAAGTGTGAGCTATTGTTACTAAGGAGCAACTGAGTCACTCAGGTCTTTTCCTCCTAATCATGTGGAATCTTTACATAAAAGGGAGATTCCTCATCTACCCTTATGGCCCCTTGATGCCATTAATTATTTCTGGAGCACCTGTAACTGTTCTATTCCCCACAAGCCACTGAATACTTGGACCCTTACTGAGAAACAAAAGTCTTTTGGGGGCCTTCGAGGGTCCCACCACCTTCCCTCCCTTTACCCCCAATGCTGATCTCTGCCCTCCGAGAAGCTGTGTTCCATTGATTCCCAGGTGTGTCCTGGAGAGTGGGAAGTAATAACTGGTCTCTTTCTGCTCTCCAGGGCCTTATGATCCAAAGGAAGAAATCGAAGCAGTGGGTGGATGCTGGATAGGCAGCAGCTACGGGGGCTAATTGTTCTTCACTGGCTGTATTTTGATCAGATTCCTTTTTATCTCCTCCTTAACCTTGGTCAATCCGTGGTAGGGGGTGGAGACTTCCTTGGAACACAGTTGGGCACCAGATCAAACAAAGCCCTCAATGCTTCAGGAGTCAGGCTGGGTGTCCAAAGTTTGGCCAAAGACCTGTTCCAGCCAGCCACTTCCCCTTGAACCTGGTGTTCCCAGGCAGTCAAAGTGGGTTCATTCCCACCCACCCCACCCCCGGTCTTTAGGCTGCTTTCTGCCCTGCTCCATGGGTTCCTCTCTAACTAGGTGAAATGCCTGGTAGAGAGACAGCGTTTTAGGTTCTCAAGTGGTCGCTATCGCTATTAATAATAAAAACAGTAACATTCACAGCCCCGTGCCTGGTACCCTCGCAGCTGCCCTGGGCCAGCCTAGGCCCTCATCCAAGGGCCCCCAGAGCCACTTCGGGACCTCTCCGCAAGGGTGTCTGGACGTGATTTCCCGTAGCCGCGGCCCGACGGGATGTGCTAAATTGGGAGTGCGATTGCAGCAGGAATGCAGCGAGACGGCACCTGATCTTGCGCGGCCGCCGGCTCTAAGAGGAGAGCGCCCCTTCGTCGGCTCCCTGTCTCAGCGCCCAGTTCTGGGAACCTGCGCCTCCGCAGCCCACATGGGAGGGGCGGGGCACGGAGAAGGAGCTCACACCCGCAAAATTACTGTTGACGCTTCTTGGAGGCCAGCAGACTCGCCGCGCGGAGT